CCCCCCCCCCCCCCCCCTCTTTTTACAATGTAATACAACTAAGTGAGTTACTTTGTAAAGGGAAAGTATTTGAAAATACATTCTTGGTCTGTCTACAGGGAAGAAAAAGTATGAAGACATTCTGATTAATAAAAATAACAATAGATTTAAAAATAAGCTTCAGTTAAAAAAAGATCTCTTATTCACATTTTGTAATATGGTTAATTAAAAAGAAGCTAAATTACTGTTTTTCATAAGTACCAGAGGTTTCTTTTTTTTTTTCTTTTTTTTTCGTGAGGTTTTTGCTATAGGGCGCATGTGCTCGTGAGACAGACAGAGAGACAGAAAGCGAGAAATCACCCCCCAGGGGGGGATGGCCACGCCGCAATCCCTTCTCCTCCATTCTCCTCTCGGGATCTCGGCAACTGACGCCAACACGCCCGGCGTGAGTTTAAGCCACCGGGTCTGGGACTTGAACCGCGGTTGACTACATGGGAGTCCAGCGACATAGCCATTACGCTAACTGCTGGTCCCCTACCAGAGGTTTTTCATGAATATTTTCAGGTTCTCCTCTTTTGTATTAGAAACAGACCCATGATGTAGCAATGGCCATATTCAGGTTATACTTTGTAATTCATTATTTAAGGGATTTATTGTACCTGACTTTATTTTTAAAACAGTCCTGTGACGTTGGCAGGCACATGGTGTGATTTCCATTTTATGAGAAAATAAATGGCCTGAATCTCTATGCCGAGAGGAGAGCTCTGGTGTTTGGGTCTCTTGTCTGTCTGCTCTCCATTTACCTCGGCTCTCCTTATCAAGATGAATAGTATGGTAGAGTTGACTTATAGTATTTTTATCCTGGGAAAGTGATTTTATCCATAAAATCTTTCTGTGAGCTTTGAGTCTGGTTTATAATGTGGTACTTTTACCATTTAAGGAAATCTCAGTCTTTCTAAACCAAAGACATATTTAAAATCATACTTTTTTTTTTCCTCTTTTTCTTTTTTTACGTTTTTGGCATAGGGCATGTGCACTCTCCAGAGAGACAGAGGGAAAGTGAGAAATCACCCCCCAGTGGGTATGGCCACACCATAATCCCTTCTCCTCCATTCTCCGCCTGAGATTTGGGGTGCACATCCACACGCACCCAGCATGGTTTTCAAGCTGCCAGGTCCAGGACTCAAGATGTGGTCAGCCTCATGGGAGTCCAGTGGCTTCACCACCACACCACCTGCCGGCCCCTAGAGTTAAACTTTTTAAAAATATTCTTTCAAAGATGTTTCTGTTTTGTTTTGTTATTTTTTTTACCTAAAAAGACATGTTCAGTTACACTTTGTTTGTTTTACAAATAAGTTGCTTGTATCATGGGATACTTTGCTGGGAAGCTTTCATATGTGAAAACTTGCCAAGAGAAGTTCAAGAATCTGGAAAACTCCCCCCTTGGAGAAGCTTTACGGTCAGGACAAGCACGACGATCTTCACCACCTGGGTAGGCCATGTTGTGATCTGTTATTATTTTTTTCATTTTTAAGCAAAAGACACCACTGGTTATTGCCATAATGCAGGGCACCAGACACTGCCTACCTGGAGAACCGCTGACTTGGCACTTGCTCTGGGCTAATGGTAGTGTGCTTTAATGGCGCCGCAAGACTGCTACTCTTGTTTTAAAAATAAAGTCTATCCTATTGGGTGTACAGCCCCTGCATAAAGAATCTTATCAAGGTAAAATTGGATATAATTTTGATAAGATTCCGTTTGGCACTCATGTTATTTTGGACTCTTGATTTTTAAAATTCCCAGATTTTATCGCTCATCCCCTAATAGATTGCCAGCTGTTCATTTTAACACTCTTGTTGCTTGAAATGGTAGGGAAATGATAGAAAATATTTGTCTTTTTAATTTCCTCTAAGAAAATTTGTTTTATCTAGCTTCACCTTAGGAGTAATAGTTATGTTTTATTAAATAATTTCATAAGTGAACTGATACCTGAATGCATTTCTGCTGTAAACTGCTACCAGAACTTTCTATAGTATTTTGTCACCATGTGTTGGGTTTATGACACGTGGTAACTGTTGAGTTTTTTTTTTTTAACATACGTAAATCTAGCCAAAATGAAAAACAAAAACTATAGGCTCAGAGTTCTTTTTATTTTTTGAGAGATTTTTCACTATAGGGTGCATGCGCTCGCCAGACAGAGACATAGAGACAGAAAGCGAGAAATCACCCCCCCGGGGGGGGATAGTCACGCCACAGTCCCTTCTCTATTCTCCTCTCATGATCTTGGGCACGTACCCACACGCATCCGGCGTGAGTTTTAAGCCACCAGGTCTGGGATGCGAACCACGATCGACTACGTGGGAGTCCAGCCATTACGCTAACTGCTGGTCCTCTAGGCTCAGAGTTCTTTACATCTTTCATTTTAATAGAGAAAAACTAGAATCAGTTATTTTCCAGTGCAAGGAATAACATTGCCATTGATGGGTCATTGTGAAATTACTTAAAATGTGATTTTTGAAGTCTACAAAGCAATGTGATGAACTGCTTTTGATAAAATGAAAAGGGTACAGTATAAAACTATATATACAAACGATTATTTCTTTTTAAAGAAAAGTGTATACCTGTGAAAATATTGAAAATAGATAATGATAATGGTTGTGATTTGTGGCCCCCCCCATTCCAGACTTTCTGTAATGTAATCAGATTACTTGTAATCAAAATACAAATAAACAAGTTTTTAAAAACTTTTCGGATGTTAGAAATTTCACCTTTTTTTTGACCATAAGACCTATGTGCTCACCAGAGAGGGGGAGGGAAAGTGAGAAATCACCCTTTGAGGAGGACAGCCACATCCCAGTTCATCCTCTCTATTCTCGTTGGGATTTCGGGCATGCACACAAGTGCTCCTGGCTTGTTTTCAGGCTCTTCAGTCCAGAACTTGAACCACAGAGTCAGCCATGTGGAATCCAGCATCTTAACCACCACATTACCTACTGGCTTGGAAATTTCACACTTCTCAATTGAGGAAGTAAAGCAATAGTAAGCCTGTTCCTGGATTTTTCAGACTGGTTTTTGTGTTTTATAAGTATAGCTAAATGTGTCTGTCTGGATGGTTAGATATGTCATAAGGGAATTAGGTAGATTGGTAGGTAAATTACACGTAGCATAGCTGGCAAGGAATGTTAACTCCATGAGAGAGTAGTGGCTGCCCTGTCTCTGTTTCTGTAAGTTGGTGTCTGTATAGACTCTTCACTATGGAGGTAACTTCCCAATTAATGTGGTAAACACATTTGTCTATTAAAATTAGACCTGATCTGAAGTATGAATACGCCTGATACTTCGAAAAGGGATAACTGTATATATTACCCTTTTATGTATGTGTGTGTGTGTGTGTGTGTGTGTGTATGTATTAATATATATATATTTCATATTTCATATGAAATATATATATATTTTACTATAGGGTGCATGCACTCGCCAGAAAGACAGATACAGAGAGAGAGTGAGAAATCAGCCCCTGGGGGGATGGCCATGCCACAATCCCTTCTCCATTCTCCTCTTGGGATCTTGGGCATGCACGCACACGCACCTGGCATGAGTTTAAGCCACCAGGTCCGGGACTTGAACCACAGTCGACTACATGGGAGTCCAGCAACATAGCCATTATGCCAACTGTTGGTCCCCCCTTTTTATGTATATTAAGAGTGACTTTTTTTTCTTTTTTTTGGAGAGGTTTTTTGCTATAGGGCATGTGCAGAATGACTTTTTAAAAAAAAAGAATTTGCTAGAGGACACACATGCTCACCAGAAAGAGAGAATGAAATAGCACCCCGGTGGGGGGGGTGGTGGCCACATGGCATTCTCTTTGCCTCTATTCTCTCAGGGTTTAGGGCACACATGCACATATTCCTGTCATGATTTTGAGGCTGTGGGGTCCATGAGCTGTGAAGTCGTGTGGGTGGGCCAGGGCTTCTTTTTAATGTTTTTGTGGCAGAAGGAAACAGACTTCATTTTACTGCTTATAAATGGCAATGTTAAAAATCACGATTATTGTAGAAATGAGGTAACTTGTATTTGTACTTGAATATTTCTTTAAATAAGATACAGATAATGACTCGTATTTCTTCTGCAAATGATTTTGTGTCGCAGGCACTACTCTCAGAAGTCGAAGTATGACTCCACCGGGAGTGGTCAGTCATCTTTCGGGACATCCCCAGCAGCAGACAGCATAGAAAAAGTGCCTGCCCTGTCTCTGTTTCTGTAAGTTGGTGTCTGTATAGACTCTTCACTATGGAGGTAACTTCCCAATTAATGTGGTAAACACATTTGTCTATTAAAATTAGACCTGATCTGAAGTATGAATACGCCTGATACTTCGAAAAGGGATAACTGTATATATTACCTTTTTATGTATGTGTGTGTGTGTGTGTGTGTGTGTGTATGTATTAATATATATATATTTCATATTTCATATGAAATATATATATATTTTACTATAGGGTGCATGCACTCGCCAGAAAGACAGATACAGAGAGAGAGTGAGAAATCAGCCCCTGGGGGGATGGCCATGCCACAATCCCTTCTCCATTCTCCTCTTGGGATCTTGGGCATGCACGCACACGCACCTGGCATGAGTTTAAGCCACCAGGTCCGGGACTTGAACCACAGTCGACTACATGGGAGTCCAGCAACATAGCCATTATGCCAACTGTTGGTCCCCCCTTTTTATGTATATTAAGAGTGACTTTTTTTTCTTTTTTTTGGAGAGGTTTTTTGCTATAGGGCATGTGCAGAATGACTTTTTAAAAAAAAAGAATTTGCTAGAGGACACACATGCTCACCAGAAAGAGAGAATGAAATAGCACCCCGGTGGGGGGGGTGGTGGCCACATGGCATTCTCTTTGCCTCTATTCTCTCAGGGTTTAGGGCACACATGCACATATTCCTGTCATGATTTTGAGGCTGTGGGGTCCATGAGCTGTGAAGTCGTGTGGGTGGGCCAGGGCTTCTTTTTAATGTTTTTGTGGCAGAAGGAAACAGACTTCATTTTACTGCTTATAAATGGCAATGTTAAAAATCACGATTATTGTAGAAATGAGGTAACTTGTATTTGTACTTGAATATTTCTTTAAATAAGATACAGATAATGACTCGTATTTCTTCTGCAAATGATTTTGTGTCGCAGGCACTACTCTCAGAAGTCGAAGTATGACTCCACCGGGAGTGGTCAGTCATCTTTCGGGACATCCCCAGCAGCAGACAGCATAGAAAAAGAGATGCTTCCTCACTATGAGCCCATTCCGTTCAGTGCGTCTATGAACGAGTCTACTCCGACTGGTATTACTGACCATGTTGCCCAAGGTAGAAACTTCTCTTGAAATGAATTTCAGCATTTTATGGTCCAACGTATGTATAAACTTTATTTGATGACCTTTTTGCTGGATATCACCTCCATGTTCCACCGTCAGCCGTCAACCTTAATTCATCCCCCTGCATAAACTCAGCATGTTTGTTTGTACTGTTCAGTTCTTCCTTTGTTCTTTCAACATTTAAGGACCAGTAGGTGTCAGGTATTCGTGATAAGTGTGGAAGAAGTAAAGATGAATATAGCTTTGCCCAAGAAGCACTCTGTTAGATGATGTAAAAATGTTTTAATAAATTTATACCATGTCCCAGTGACTGAAGATACCCATGCAAGTTTAGTAGGATAGTTAAGTAATACTAAATAAATTATGCCTCAGAGAGTAGAGGCTTCAAGAAGGCCCTTTTAAAAAAATTTTTTTTTCTTTGCCAGAGGGCTAGTGCACTTGCCAGAGAGACAGAGAAAGTACTGCCCAGTCGGGCATGGCCATGCTGCAGTTCTTTCACTCATTGCCCTGCCCACCAGGGCCTGCGCGTGCATGCACGTGTGCTCGGCCTGCTTTTCAAGCTACTGGGGCTGGGATTTAGACCAAAGTCGGCCATGCACGATCTGCCTTTCTTAAGCACTGCACTTTGGGACTGGCCCAAGAATGCCTTTTAGAAAGTTATATTTGACAGGATGGTCTTAAAGGCTGTCAGCTTTCTTATCTGTGATGGAAGAAAAGTAGTACCTGCTTTAGAGAACTGTTGTCAAGTGAGCAAATCCATGTGAAAAAGCTACGTAGAGTTTGCACAAATACTGGCTTTAAAGATTGCACATGTGTAAATTGGAGCTTTGTAGATTGCTCATGTAAATGAAACATCACTTTTGGATTAAAACCTGGATTTGAGTCATGATTGACATTTGCTGGCTATAAAACCTTGGACAGTAACTGCCATTTACAAACCCTTCAGTTTCTTGATTTCTTGAATAAGAGATGATAATGGCTCTCTTAAAGAACTATTGGAATTAGAAATGATTAGAGGTCATGCCTGATTACCTAAGAGACTCAACAAAACCTTGGGTTTCTATGTTCCTTCAATGTAGTCTGCAGTAAAGGGGGAAAATTAGAAACGGAAATTGGCAGGTCTACAATCCCTTGTGTGAAATTCAAAGTCCAAAAAGCTTTGAAAACTGAAGGGTCTTGTTTCTTCGTTTTGTTTTGTTTCACTTTTGTTTTCTGAGATACAGAAGGGGGAGAGAGAGACAAAAAAAGAGAGAGAGGGGTGTTTATGACAGAATCTCACTGTGTAGCAATTCTTCTGTCCTAGGCTCCCACACAACAATTTCAGGTACATACAACTATGTCTTCATGTATAGGTTGGCTCAGGAACTGACCCCAGGCATTCCTAATCTGAGAATGCAAAAATTCAAAGTTCCCTAAATGTTGGAACTTTTTGTATGTTGACATGATTCCACAAGTTGAAATTCCCACCTGATCTTAATGTGTTGGATCATAGTCAAAACACTGTGGAAAAAGACACTATCTGATTACTTTCAAGCTGTGTATATAAATTATATAAACACATAAGTAAATTGCATGCTTAGACTTGGGACCCAGCCCCAAGATATCTAACTACATGTATACTTAGATTTCAAAAGCTGAAATCTGAAACACTTCTCCAGAGCACTTCAGAAGAGGAATACTCAGCCTTTATTCTATTGAAGTTTTTTTTTAATTGCCAAGGGGTGGGTATCCATGCTCATCAGAGAGATCTTAAGAGAAGGAGAACACACCCCTCAGTGGAGCTTGTTCAGACCATAATTCTTTTCCCACCATTTCTCCATACTGTCAGGATTTGGGGGATGTACACACATACACCTGTTTTGGTTTTTTTTTTCCCCCAAGAGATATTTTTGCTGTAGGGCTTATGTACTTCCTGGAGAGACAGAAAATGAGAAACCACCACCCACCCACCCCCCTCCAGGGAGGATGGCCACACTACGATCCTTTCCCCTCCATTCCCTCTTTGAATCCTGGGCGTGCACACACATTTATCTGGCATGAGTTTTAAGCTGCTGGGTCCAGGACTCGAACCACAGTTGACAACATGGGAGCCCAGTGATGTAACCATTATGCCACCTGCTGGTCCCAGCCTGGTATATTTTTCAAGCCTCCTTTGCCAGGAATCTCTGGTGAACCGTGTGAGGTCTCATTCCCTATGCACTACACATAACCCACTGCCCTGCAGAGCCCGCCCGTCACTGCAGCCCCAAACCCCTGCATGGATGGCTCTGAAGTGATACAAGGGATACGTGCTGGGGTATTTTCCTGAGGTCTGACAGGTGGAGTTGTGAAGCATATTCGACCCAACGGGTTTGCATAATGGATTGTAGACTTCTGTGTTCTTTAAAAATGATAGCTTTGAAGCAGATTTAGTACGTCAGTAACTGAGATGCCCCAAGATTAAAGGAATATCTAGGTTTTTATTTTTCTACTTACAGTGGGAGAGATTTGGATCTACATGTAGGTTAGAAGAAGGGATTGGAGGCCACAGGTGGTGTGGAGGTTAGGGTGCTATATCTTACGTGGCCAACTGCAGTTTGAGTCTCTCTCCCTGTGGCTGGAAAATCATACCAGACACCTGTGCCCAAAATCCTAGGAGGAAAAGGGATTGTGGTATGATTTCCCAGTTTGTCTCTGGCAAGTGTACTTGCTCTGTGGGAAAAACTTAAAAAAGGGGGAAGGAGGGAGATTTAGTAGAAAAGGAGAAAAAAGAAGCTGTTTATAGGTTAAAGAATGTTCTAGAAATTACAGGAGGTTTTAGTAAATGAAAATATTACATAGCACTGACCATATATGGCTATTTAAATTAATGAAATAATGAACATTTTCCATTGTTTTTGTGACGTTTTGGTTGCTCAGTGTCCCATGCTAGCCACGGTGCCCTTGAAGAATCTTGGATCATTGCAGAAGGTTACGTTCCCCTTCAGAGCCAGAGTCAGGGTGGGGGCAGCGAGAATTAATTTTGCGGAGAGAGAGACGGAAGAGAGTAAAGGTTCTAATGAATAGAGACTTGTGTGTAGATTCAAGTTGTGCAGTCTCTTAACCTGAGGAGGAGACATAGGATTAAGCAGAAAGGGAAGGAGTGCGTCCATGAGGGAGCATGCTTTAAGTCCTTGTCTCATCTCCACAGGCAGCAGTCCTTGTCCCTCGTCCCTCCCTGTTTCTCATTTCCCAGTCTGAAGTTCAAATCTCTCCCTGACATGCACGAGTTTTTCCCATGTGTAGTGACTTGTGTTCTTCCTTCCATTTGCATTAGAAAATTCTACGTTATGTAATTTCTCTTAAAATAGCAAACAAAGCCTTTTATTAATGTACACAGAGACTACAGTGAGGCCTGTATTTTAATATTCTTTCCTGCGGGCTGCAGCAGCTATCCCTCTGTCTACTGCTCTACTTTCTGACCCCCTGCTCTAAATCCAGTTTGCCAATTGTCACTGTTCTCCAAAGTAGGAAGCCCTCCTGCGTAGTTGTATGAGACTTAGAGACTCTATTACTGATGGATTGAGAGCAGTGTTTTACATGCTCTGTTCTTCCAGTTCTGTATCCCCTTCCTGGTGTAGGAACTCACGTTCCCTTCACAGTTGCAGTATACTTTTGTGTGGAAAACCTTTTCCCCAGTCTCTGCCTAACGCATTATTTGTCATAGAATTTCAGAACAGTAAAACATTGTTTCTCTGGATAAGAAAAAGTATTAGACATGGAGGGCACTTTAGTCAAACCCCCATACTGCACAGTAGAGGGCCAGGAGTCAAAGAAGCTTAGTGATTTGCCCAAGGACAGTCACTGATTGGCCGCAGAGGAGGGAGCAGAGCCCAGAGTTCCTTATGTACTCCATCTCCCCATCGGAATTTCAGACATGTTATTTATGGCGAAGAGAAATGAATCCAGTAATTACCTAATTCTAATGAACTGCACAATATTTTAAACTCTTCATAAGGCTGTAGTTCCCCCCCCCCCCCCTGCCGTTCTTTTTACACGC